ACATGTCTTCGTTACATATAGAAGATTGTACAGAGTGGATCAGTGTGTCCATCCTTTGGGAATAGCAGAAGACCAAGTTTGATTAGGTCATTTTTCCGTTTTCCATATAAAATGTTACAGCTTGAAGGGAGTTAAACTAGCAAAGAACTTTTCTCAAGTTCCTTACTCCTTTGAACGTAAAGCCTAGCATCTTGAAAGTTTGAGAAAATCAGCCTTTTCTTTTAGGAATTGCCAAACTCCATTTTCCTCTTTTCTTTTTCTTGATTTTTAGGCATTTAAGATTATTTCATTCTAATTCAGACGAACCAAATTGTTGTAAACATTTCTGCTATAGTTTCCAAGTGCATGCTAGGTTAAAACCTTTGAAATTTTGTTTTTCCTATTTAGGCAGTTTTATTTTTAATTTTTTTTTTTTAAGATTTTATTTATTTGAGAGAGAGAGAGAGTGCGCACAAGAGTGGGGGGCGGGAGAAGGAGAAATAGACTCCCAGCTGAGCAGGGAGCCCGATGCGGGACTCGATCCCAGGACTCCAGGATTGTGACCTGAGCCGAAGGCAGTCGCTTAACCAACTGAGCCACCCAGGCGCCCTATTTTAATTTTTAATTGGAGTATAGTTGACATACAGTATTCATTTCGGGTGTACAACATGATGATTCGACATTTGTATAAATTACAAAACACTCAGCATATTAAGTATGGTTGCCATCTGTCACCATACAAATGTACTCCAGTATTATTGACTACATTCCCTACGCTGTACTTTTATCTCCATGCCTTGGTTATTTTATGACTGGAAGTCGGTACCTCTTAATCCCCTTCCCCTATTTTCTTTTTCTTTTTTTTTTTTTTAAAGATTTTATTTATTTGACAGAGAGACAGCCAGAGAGGGAACACAAGAAGGGGGGGCGGGAGAGGGAGAAGCAGGCTTCCCGCGGAGCAGGGAGCCCAACGCGGGGCTGGATTCCAGGACCCTGGGACCATGACCTGAGCCGAAGGCAGACGCTTAACGACTGAGCCACCCAGGCACCCCGCCTTCCCCTATTTTCATCCATTGTCCCACCCTCCTTGTCTCTGGCAACCAGCACTTTCTTCTTTGTATTTATGAGTATGTTTCTGTTTGTTCATTTGTTTTGTTTTTTAGATTCCGCATGTAAGTGAAAATATATGGTATTTGTCTGGCTTATTTCACTTAGCGTAAGACCCTCGAGGTCCATCCATGTTGTTGCAAAATTTCATTCTTTTTTATGGCTGACTGATATTCCTGTGTGTGTGTGTGTGTCAGCTCTTTATCCATCTATCAGTCGATGGATACTTGGGCTGTTTCCATATCTTGGCTGTTGTAAATTATGCTGCACCAAACATAGGGGTGCATATATCTTTTCAAATTTGTGTTTTCGTTTTCTTCAGGTAAATGCCCAGAAATGTTCATGTGGTCGTTCTATTTTTAATTTTGTGAGGAACCTCCATGCTGTTTTCCATGGTGGCTGCACCAGCTTGCATTCCCACCAGCAGTGCACGAGGGTCCCCCTTTCTCCATATCCTCCCAACAGCTGTTGTTTTGTGTGTTGTTAATTTTAGCCATTCTGACAGGTGTGAGGTGGTATCTCACTGTGGTTTTGATTTGCATGTCCCTGATGATGAGTGATGTTGAGCATCTTCAGTGTCTGTTGGCCATCTGGGTGTCTTCTTTGGAGAAATGTCTGTTCAGGTCCTGTGCCCATTTTTTAATCAGATTGCTTGGTTTTTTTGGTGTTGAGTTGTAAAAGTTCTTTATATATTTTGGATACTAATCCCTTATTGGATATGTCATTTGCAAATATCTTCTTCCATTCACTAGGTTACCTTTTGGTTTTTTGATGATTTCCTTCACTGGGCAGAAGCTTTTTGTTTATTTATTTAAAGCTTTATTCATTTATTTATTTGAGAGAGAGAGCAAGAGCGAGAGAGAGCGGGGGGAGGGGCAGAGGGAGAAGCAGACTCCTTGCTGAGCAGGGAGCCTAATGTGGGGCTCGATCCTGGGACCCCAGGATCATGACCTGAGCTGAAGGCAGGAGCTTTGACCAACAGAGCCACCCAGGTGCCCCGGGCAGAAGCTTTTTAGTTCAATGACGTCCCAATAGTTTATTTTTGCTTCTTTTGCCTTTGCTTTTGTTGCCTCAGGAGATAAATCCAAAAACAATATTGCTCAGACCAATGTCCAAGAGTTTATTGCTTCTGTTTTCTTTAAGGAGTTTTATAGAAAAACTTCTGAAATTATGTGGTACCCCAGAGAATAGGCCAAACTCTAGGATTTTTCAGCAATATCTGTTTATTTTAAGAGGATCTCAGGTAACACTTTGCAGCTAGCTCTGGGTTTTGAAGGACTGGGAAGTTTGTGTCTGTAGGAGTGGTAATTTGGATTAAAAGTGAAAATGCTGCCATCTGAATATTTGGATTTGGAAAAGTCATTATCCAGACTATGAAACTTATTCTTTGTAAATGTTCACATGTTTTCTAGCCACTGTGCACTGCCCTTTTACCCTCCTGTGGCAGAGGAAGGAAGTGAGGGCACACCGAGGGTGCCCCTGTTGCCCAGCAGCTCACAAGGGGGAGGGCAGAGTGCCAGAGAACCTGCAGACCCTGCATATTGACCTAGCACCTTTACCTGCCCCTGCACCTCCGAGAAAATACTCATCTTTCATATCTCTGTCATTTCCTGCATCCTTTCCCATAAGTTCAGATAAAATTCCATTTAGGGAGTAAAAATTCCAGTCAGCAGGTTTGTTTTACCTTTCATCCTCTGGCTAGTTAGTTGATTTCTCATGTGATAAAAATTACAGGTTTTCATATTCAAGCCTCTGTTGGTCCGTAGCTCTTAGGTACTGCATTTTAAGCAGCAGGTGCACTCTTGTTCTGTGACTGTGTTGTGTGGTCCTTGAAACTCATTGGAATTAAATGAGTCACCTTAAAAGCAAAAGCTTTTGTTCTTTTGTTAATTAGGAGAAACTGTAGTTAATATGGACTTAACCCTCACTGGTCTAAATTATGGAGAAAAGAAGGAATTCGCTATCTGTGCTGATGTAAATTTTGGAGAAGGGGGAAGTTGGTGTCCGTGCTAGGCTTCAGCCCGGTGTGTCCCTTGCGCAGAAGCGGGGTTTGTGGATCCTGGTGAGCTGGTCTCAGTGGGCAGCTCTTTCTTTCTAGGTTGTAGCTGAATAACTGAGTAGTGCGTGGCATTGCCTTTGGGATATTTGTCCAAAAACTGACTGCTCTAGGTCTTCGTAGGAAATCTACCCGGTATTGTCTAATAAATGGTCGTAGTGCCTTCTTCTTAACATTATTCAGAACTAAAGCTCTGAGAAGTCAACCCCAGGCCCCAGGGTGTAGAGGTTTAGAACAGTTTCAGTTGAAAGATGGTATAAAATGCGGTTTTGTAAATGTGTCAGTGATTTCCTAAGGAGGCAGCTGGCCGACTGGTGGAGAGCTCTCATCCGTGAGATACCGAACCTAGTGAGGTTGGTCTTTGGGCAGGAGAGAATGCTCTCCTTTCAGAAACAGCAACTTGAGAAACCATTCACCCAGTTGACTGTTGTTCAGTGTAATGAATACCTAGGCCAAGAGGATTACATAGAGAGTGGTGGTGGTGGTGGTTTTTAACAACTATGAGAATACTTCTCAGAATTTTCTGTTTTTTTTCTTTTTTTGTGTGTGAAATTTAGGTGAAGCTGAATGTGTTCATTAAACTTGGAGTTAACAGGTGTCTGCCCTGGGCCTCATGCTAGGGACTGAGACTATGAAGGTCTCAGTTCGGTATCAGGAACTCAGGCGGGCGGGCGGTGAGGGGAGTGGGTGGGCGTGTGCGGTGCTGCAGTGGACAGCATGGGAGCCCGGGCACGGAGGGAGGCGGGCCTGGAGTGCGCGCAGGGAAGGGGGTCTGGACCGAGGAGGTGAGAAGAGGCGTGGTGGGTTGGAGGAGGCGAGGTACTCCAGCCGAGGAGCGGGATGGGAGCCAGAGCCCGGTTCCCTGGGGACCCAGCCCAACAGCGCACATCCTGGGGACTGGCGAGGCGAGACTCAGGGGCCCTGCAGTCACTGTGTGTGGGTCTAGGAGAGGGTGCTGGGGCAAGCAGCGTGCAGTGGGGTGGGAGCGGGGGAGCTCGGCGTGCTCCCAGGTCTGCACTCTGACGCTGGCACGGTGGGCTGCTGTTGCAGGCTCTTAAGTTAGGACCAGCAGCCTGGTCAGATTTTCATTGTAAGACAGCAAAAACCCAAAAGCTCGTATTTACGTGGAAAATGCCTTGGATGGGGTGAATCTGAAGATGGTCTAAGCAGGGCTGGGCCCATGTCGGGTAGGGAGCCAGGTCGCAAAGGGCCTGGGGGTGGTCTTGAGTGCCCTGGGGGAGGGGAGGCAGGAGGTTTGGGTGCTGGAGAGACAGCAGCCTGGTGACCCCAAGCTAGGTGAGCGTGTTGAGTAGGAAAGCCACCTTCCACCTTTGCTCACTGAGTAGCTAGAATGGAAGAGAAACTGAATTTTTAATAGCAATTAACAATCCAACATACAGAAATGCCTTTGTTCTAGATTATTCCTACTAGCTTTTTGAATTGTCTAATGTAATAATAGTCTTGATAGTTACACAAAACAGTGAATTAAAGACTGGAAAGGACTGTCCTACTCCCAGTTTTCCCTAAATGTTGTGTGGAGCAGTGTGAGAGCCCAGGAGGAAGGACGTTGTAGGAACCATCTAGGTGGTGATCTCTGCCCCCCATTATTGTTTACTGACCCGGGTTATGCTGCCATCTTCCCCATCCCAGAGGTTATTGCTCTTGTTGAAGTGAGATCAGAGGATAGGGATTGGACTGTTGGATGCCTGAGGTCCCTCTTAGTGCCTTGGATGTGAGAACTCATCTGTATTCACCAGCTTGAAATTGGCCCCCCGTGGAGCTGGGTCTGTCACCGTGTTAGCCTGGTGATGAGCGTTGGTGGTCCTGCGCATCTATTGATCCTGCTGTCTTTACCCAGATGTCACCAGCACCTGCCCCACTGTCAAGGAGTGGTTTGTGTACTCTGGGAACCCACTGAGGCACCCGGACCTCGTCAGGCCTCTGCAGATGAACATTCCAGGTACAGATGGTTTGGGTTTAAATAAATCACTCATTTGTTCACCATATGATGCAAGTCCAGTAATGGATCCATTGTGGGAACATACTTTTTCAGAACTGCACATACACCAATTTTCGTGTCAACCCTGAGCCCACAAGGAGTGTACCTGTCCATTAACATTCTGAAACAGCAGAGGAATGGGCCTTTGTTCCACAGGTGGACCCCGGGCCAGTCTGCTTTCTGCTCTGCCTCACTCCGCCTGGGCTCCTGTTCAAGGTCTACATCAGGGGAGAGCAAGGCATGCCAAGAGGAGTACGGCTGTGGGCCCAAGCCCACTGCCACCTGACCCCAGGGCCCAGTGCCTGGGCTTCGCTCAGTAAATATCTGCCAAATCAGCAGGGTTGGATTCTTGATATACTGCTTGAGTCAGTTCTCCTTCCTACTACTGAGAGTATGTTTTAATGAACTGGAAAGGGAAGATAAAGGAAAGTTATTTCAGCTGGAAAAATAAGGTTTTTCCTCGTGAGTGTTACCTTAAAACCTATAAGGGGAGGGAACAAAAAACAAAGTTCACCTAAAAATTAGCTGAAGTCCTTTGTTCCTGCGAGTTCTTAGTATCTGAAAAAAGTCAAGAATTTGAGTGGGGGGTGGTGTTGTACATAAAGGCAGGTTAAAGATGAGGGTGGTAAGGGTGTATTTTTAGTGTTCCTTGCCATTGTTTCAGAGGACAAATATTCTTCTAAAACTTTGATATTCCATTTTTGTATGCGTTAAATTCTCTCATGCCACTGTTGTTCCCATCATGCAAGTCTGCAGTTTACCAAATAAGGGTGTGAGCACTGCAAAATAATTTTCTTAAAAATGGAATTCTATTGGGAGAGAAGGTGAGGAAAGTTACTATAGGGAATATTTCCTTATTCTCTCAGCCAGTGATATATTCAAACCTAAAAAGGTATTTATCAAAAAAAAATGAAGCTGAATTAACATCTGTTTATACAGCAAGAGATATTTTTAAAGGATAGCCAAAATAATTTGTCAGAAATGTTTTATTATATATGTGATTTCCATCTTATTGTATCTTTCCAAAAATAATATGAAGAGGGATTATTATAGTTTTCTTCATGGTTTGAATTAAAGAGACCATTTGGCTCTTCATCATCATATTATGAGTTAGTTTTAAAGGCCACTCCTTGAAATGTTTTCCTAAACTCTGGCAGCCATATCGTGATCACAGAGACTACTTCTGGGGCTTAAGCAAGCCTCCTCCTTCGCACTACCAGACCCACAGAAGTTCTCTAGGTGTGGCTGCACGTCAGGGCCGGGCTCCAGAAGAGCTTGCATGCAGGGCTTCCATCGCCAGAAAACTCGAGTGGGATCCTGAGCTTTTGGTGCCGATAATTTGCATGAATGACTCTTTGTTTGTGTTTATGTTAATAAGGATATGAAAATGACAAGATTTTAATATTTAAATACTTGTCTGTATCCATGAGGAAAAATGCCAGATGGTTTTTCAACTACAATGGAGACAGACCATCCCGTTTGTGTCACGGGCATTTTCCATTGCTCAGGCAGCGTGTGTTGAAAACCGTGGCGTCCTCTGACGCCTGCCGTCCGTACACCTGTCTCAGGAAACCTGATGCACGCAGGTGCCTCGGCCCGGCTGCGAAAGGCCCTTGTTGCATCATGGGATCCGTTGTTCCCAGGGGAGGCCAGCAGTCTTGTCAGTAGAAGGGACGTCATCTCAGGACACAAGTCTGATTTTCTTGTTCTCCTGAGAGAGTTTCAAGCAGGTTGATTTCGTAAATGGTGTGTTTTCAGTGAGTCTCCTGACAGAGTGGCCAGAGTGTTCTTTTTTAAAAAGGCTTTCTTCTAACAGCACATGTGATTTAGATTGCTTTCTTAAATAGTAGAATGTAGAAACAGAAATCACAGATATTTTATCACAAAATGGAAAGGAAACGCAGGGGAGCAGAAAAATTGCAGGGGAGCAGAAAAATTACAGAGATTACCTAAAAATTAGGAGGGAGAAGGAATTAAAATTGACCGGGCAAGGAGCAGAAAAGTAAACTTCCATTACTGGCGAATTTTATCACATCCCTATCCCCTCTGTGTTCCCATCTGTGCGTGTGCACGCAGCTTATAGACACACATTCAGATGTGCACACATGTGAGCTGTAAGCTGTGTTCATGTGTCTCATCTGTGTTACATGGGTACTGTTACATCTCTCACCTCACCAGTATCCTGAGATGTGATGTTTTTGACGATGCAGGAAGGGTGTACCTTAAAATTGAGCTTCCTTTCCCCAGGCACAGCGCTTGAAGGGCCCTCGAGTTGTGCACATACGTGCTTATTTGCTCTCAGCACACATATAGCCCCTTTCTTCCTCCTTCCTCACTTACTGGTGCTCTGCCTGTTGTGGAGTGAGTCTTGGACCAAACCACAGGCAGGCATTTGGAATAGCGTCTTCTCCCCCAGAGTTGGAGATTCTTCTTCAGATGGAACAGAAGTGGTTTTTCCTCTCCTCAGTGTCCGTTTTTTTGTCATCATAAGCATACCCTCTTCAGAGACCTAGGACAGCTAATTAGCCATATGAATCAGTCTGTAAATGTAGTATTTCTCAGCTTTATGAGGGTGTTTGACTCACCAAAGTCTTGCAGGTCTTCTTAGAAGACTGTCTTACAGCCTGAAGTGAGACGAAGGGATACCTTTCCTGAAAAGAGGGTGCCATGTTTGACCCAGGCCCTCATTTGCTGGGGCTCTTGTGGTAGAGCCCTCTTCTGTGTGCTCTCGACAGTCTTGTGTGCAGATGTGTACAGGTCTAGAAAGTCTTGTCGGATCCTAGCTGCTTCTGTGGGTGGTAAATCCAGGTCCCCAACTGCTGCCCAGGCGCACGAACGCACACGTGGTGACGAGACGATGATGTGACCGCCGCCTCCTGACCCACCCACCTGACGTCATGGGTCAGGAGAAATGGCTTCAAAACCTCAAAGCCGGTTTTCTTTCCATTTGTAAAAATAATCGGAAGAGTTTTCAAATAACTGTGTTACAAATACACATTTGAGTCACAAGCCAACTGTTGAGTTTCACTTTTTAGAGCCACATTCACTGTATCTTGACTGCATTAGGTAGGAGTGGCATAACTGTCATTTTGCAAGCACGAAAGGAGACATTTCACCCCTGTACACTTAGAGCTTAATATATCGAGATTCCAGTGCATTCTATTCTGTTTATACCTGAATGAAATTTTTTTTTTCTTATTATAAATAGGCTCTTGAAGTTTACCCAGCCAGAGTGAAGATTCACTTTGCAAGCGTGGAGTTGTCAGGGTTTTTAATTTTGTTTTCTTTTGGCCAGGAATGCGCTACTAAACAAGAGAATGCTAAGTAAAATATTCATTTAAATCAAACTTATGAACTAAAGCTTTCACAGGTAAACTTGAGACATGAGATATATGCACGTTAATTTCGAGAACTCTTCACCAGTCACGTCCTGACAATGGACACAAGCCAGACAGGTGTATGGTTTTTCTTACCCCAGCAGTGTGCAAGGGAAATAATCATCAGATAACTCTAAAACCCAACTACTGAAATATGTACTTCCATATAAAAAGCATACAGAATTGCTATGGTCTTTATTCACTCACTTCTGTTTATTGCTGCAAAAACACAAACAGAAACATTACTTTATTGCTTTGTTACTCATGAGGTGCATTCAGCAACCCTCTGCCAGGGGTGGATCCTCCAGGTATCTCTTGAGAAGGTCTTCGAAGTTGTCATTCACAGAAGTGACTTCCTTCCCTGCCCCTCTGCTCCTCCATCTGTGGGCTCAGGTCCCCCAGAAGGATCCTAGGCTTTCCTGTCCATCTGTTCACACAAAATCTTTTACCAAGTTATGTAATTAGGTTCTTGAAGCTGATGTGTTTTAGATGTGATGCTAGTTGGTGACCTAGAGATGAGATTGATTGTTTAGGTCTGTGGCTCTTTGAAACATCTCAGCTGCCCCTGGAGCTCTGGGGGAAGTATAGGGGCCATCCTTTCTGGCACAGTCTTATTTATCCCCAGGAGCAAGGTGTGTGTGTGTGTGTGTGTGTGTGGTGGAGGGAGAAGCTCTGAGCTGATCTGCCTTCCAATTCTGATCAAAATAGGTTTCTTTTCTTTATTTTTAATTTTTCTTAAAGATTTCTTTAAGATTTCACAGACAGAGCACAAGCCGGGAAGGGGAGAGGGAGACACAGACTCCCTGCTGAGCAGGGAGCCCAAAGTGGGACTCGATCCCAAGACCCTGGGATCATGACCTGAGCTGAAGGCAGACGCTTAACCGACTGAGCCACCCAGGCGCCCCAAAATAGGTTTCTTTTAAACTGAAATTACTAATGGTGTCCTTGGTGTTAGGTAGGCTCAGCCCTCCTGGGTCATTAACACCACATTTGAAAACCACTTCATCTAGGGGTACCTGGGTGGCTCAGTCGTTAAGTGTCTGCCTTTGGCTCAGGTCATGATCCAAGGGTCCTGGGATCGAGCCCCGCATTGGGCTCCCTGCTCTGAGGGAAGCCTGCTTCTCCCTCTCCCACTCCCCCTGCTTGTGTTCCCTCTCTCACTGTGTCTCTCTCTGTCACATAAATAAATAAAATCTTAAAAAAAATAAAAAATAAAAACCACTTTGTCTAGAGTGAGTTTACCAGTGGAAGAGAACTAATCTAAATGATCCTTCAAAGAAATTCACACCTTCTGGCTTAAGATGATGAAATCTATCAAGTGAGAAGTAAATCTCTGTGGACGGTACTTAGGAAGAGAACCATCCTTATAATTAAGGCCATTATATAGGATCGTCAGAGGGTCTCTGTGCAGCCTCGCAAGTACTACGTGTGACAGAAAATGACAGCAACCCCAGAATATGTTGTCTTGTATTGAAGGCAGAAGTTCTCAGTTTCTGGAGAAGGCTGCAGACGTGTCATGTCTCCTCTGGTAATACGGTTGCTCAGTACTGAGTTCTTGACTAAATAAATTATTGATTGAATTTAGGATTAAAATTCTCTGATTAAATTAGAGATTTTTGAGGATGTGGTTTTTCAAACCGGTGGTTTTCTGTAATCTATTTTATCATTAGCCCTCAAGAACCAATTTATTATTGGCGAGTTATTCTTTTCTTGTCTGTGTAGATGATTTCTTAGCTGTTTTGTGGAAGAATATTGAGTGGTATTCAAACTCTGCCTGTGTCCGAACCACCTGGAGAGCGTGTTACAACAGATTGCTGCTCCCTGACCCCTGGAGTTCGATTAGTAGGCCTGGGGTACGGCCTGAGAATTTGCGATTCTTTTTTCTTTTTCTAAGATTTATTTAATTATTTTAGAGAGAGTGCACACAAATGAGCACAAACGGGGGAGGGGTAGAGGGAGAGAATATTCAGCTAGATGCCCCCGCTGAGCACGGAGCCCAACGTGGGGCTCAGTGCAGGGCTCAGTCCCACACCCCATGAAATCACAACCTGGGCTGAAACCCTAGAGTCGGATGTCCAACGACTGAGCCACCCAGGCGCTCCAAGAATTTGCAATTCTAGCAAATTCCCAGGTGATACCAAGGCTGGGAGTGATGGCCACCAGCAGGTCCCTGTTGGTTCAGGATATCTCATGTTTGTTGCTGCCACCGTACTTGACTCTCAGTAGATCTCATGAATCTCATTCTTTTTGTATTAAACTCTTCTGTGTAAGCAAATGAAATGCAAGGTACAGTCTTTCCACTGTCCATCCCCACACACTCTAATGGGGACTTGGCCTCTCAGCTGTGTGCATAGATGTTGTATATGCGTTGAAAGAGGACTAGAAGCTATATTTTAAAATATGGCTATATGTGGGTGGTGGGGTTATAAATGTTTTCATTTTCTTATGCCTTTTTTTCCTTAGTTTTTTTACAATGCATGACTTTTAGAGTTAGGAAAACTGTCAACTACTTGAGTGTATTTGAAATAACTGTGATAATGGGACATTCATCACTCACCTTCAGTCAGGGCTTGGCAGCCGTCTGTATTTTAGGCTTTGGGGCACCGTGATCTCTGCTGCGGCGGCCCAGCCCTGCGCTTGGACCGCGCGGGGGGCCACAGACAGCACACAAATGAGCAGGTGCCATTGTGCTGACACTTCATTTAGTTGAAACTGGCATTTCACATACTTTTCTCACATTGTGAAATACTGTTTTTCTTGTGATTTTTTTTTCAGTCATTTAAACATGTGAAAACCATTCTTAGTTTATAGGCCTACAGAAACAGGCAGTGAGCTGGATTCGGCCCATGGGCTACAGTTTGCTGACCCTACAAGATGATGATTTTTCTGAAAAGATGTGTTTTAAGAAGTCATGGCTGACCCTTGTGAAGATCTTGGAATGATATCTCCATCTTATTAACTGGTGCCATAGATTTGTTTTTTGCCAGTTGTCGTCACTATTTTCTTTCTTTCAAGAGAAAAATGATTTTTTTTTCCTCTCCAAAATAAATAATGAAAAAATTTTTTGATGGAGGAAACACTTCAGCCGTTTCAGAAATGCAAGTGACTTTTGCTGTGTTGTTTCACTTTCAGTGGTGGGAGATACATGGTCAAGAATATTAAATGATACCGTGAGAAATGGGGAAAAAAAGGGAAAAAGAGGAGAGCTGCTTCTTTGAGTCCTTTAATTCCGATACCATTTGGTTACTGGGTTCTGTTTCCATAGTAGACATGTGGGACATTCGGACCTCTGCCATCCTGGCTCTTGAGGCGTGGTGTTGTAGCTTCTTGACCCTGCAGAAATCACAGCTGCTGCCTGTAGTGGGACCTGGCTTGTCCCAGGACTGGCCTGTGTGTGCGGCTGCCGGCAGGACCCCCACTTTTCCTCCAGACTCCCGGGGCCATGTGTTGTGATTTAAGGAAATGAGGAAGGGTTGTTTTTTGGTTTTTTTAACTTTAATAATTTAAATGTATATATAAAACATAGAAATGAAACACTAGGAATTACATTTTAGGAATTTCTTTTGTTTGACAGTTTTAGGGACATGCTGTCCAAAGCATGGGGCCCAGAGTTGCCCTGCATCCAAGCCTCTAGGTTGTGCAGTGCAGACTCCTGGGCATCATACCTGGTAAAGCAGGCTTTCTGCATGCAGAACCCAGGAAAATGCATTTTTTATAGTCTCTGCTGTGGATTCTTTTTACACTGAAGTTTAAAAACTGCTGGTCTAGGGGAATAAGAGAGCAAGCTAACAGGGTAGGTTGGTGGTCTTTGCACCAGCATTCCACTGTGGCTGTGTTCTTTCCCACACTCAGAGACAGGACCTTTTAAACATACTCTGAAAAGCATTCTTAACAATGGCAGGATGCAGCAGAGGTAGGAAAAAAGCCCTAGTTTCCCTCAAAACATAGTCCTTAAAAAAAAAGAATGTTCTCAATGAAGTACATATATACTGGCCTTTGAGGGTCTGTTTCTTTTAACCAGGTAGGTTTGTTCATGTTTACTTTCTAGTCCTTTACACCTTAAAGCTCAAGGGTGTCAGAAAGAGAAGAGGTTAGTGTCTTTTATTCTTTTATTGTATTTCTATAAGAAGCATGTTATAACTTGCTGGTACAAAGAATAATGGTAAATGGACTTTTTTTTTTTTTTAACCAGGGGGAACACCTAATTTGAAATTACTGTGGCTGAACCAAGAGCCAGGAATACAAGGCCGGCGCTTGGATGCCCTCCTAGGCTGTTTCGACCTTTCCTCCTCGAGAGAAGAGCTGCAGGCGGTCGAGAACCCCTTTAAAGCGTTGTGCTGCCTCTTGATCTACCTCTTTGTGCAGGTAACCTCCGCTCCTCGCTCCTGCCCTTGCCTTTTGTGAGGTGTGGCGCGCTGGGGTCTGGCCATGGCCTGTCCCCGTGTCATGCTGTCCAGTGCCTGCCCCATGAGCACAAGTCCCTTGCAGCTGTGCTCCCTGTCGGCACACATGTTAGCGCCTTTGTGTGTCAGACATAGAGGCTCGTACTGCACGCAAGTGTAGTGGAGGCTTGGGACGCCGTGCGGGCTTGCTTCCGCTTTCCCAGCACTCTGAACCGTGGAGTGCCTCCCCTGGTGCTGTTACTGTCCAGGAGGTTGCTCCTGTTGGGGGCCCCGTGTCGTGCTGAGAAGGCCTGGTGCTCCTGGCCGACGCCTTCCGACGCCACTGCTCTCGCGATGTTTGCTGAGACTTCCCTTCACGTCCCATTCTAGGACAAGGTAGTGGGTACCTCCTGGGGTTATTGGGGTGTTGCACTGTGGAAAATACGAAACATGCTTCGCAGGGGTGCCCAGTAAAACGTCTGCTAGGGTCATCATCGTCACGGCCCGTGTCTTCCTTGCCCGACTAAACCAGGGGTTGGAGGCCTCACGTGGGGAATGCAGTGCCAGGCCCTGATCGGTGTCCCTCAACAAGTTAGGCAGTTTCTGTTTCATTAGTTTTACACTTAGGTTATGTGAGAAAATTATAAAGGCCCGTGAAAGTATTTGTCTTTTTAACAGGTGCCCGTGTGCAGGGTCATGTTTGGAAACCTCAGCAAAAGAAGGGCCAAATCACTCCCTCTTCCAGCCCCTTTCCTCCCACTTCCTTTCCTTGGCTGTATTATTTTGAAATGATTTTGTCTCACATTCATCACAATGACAATAAAAAAAAAAAGTCCTTTGCAATCACGTCTCTATTGTTTTAGCCCATCTAGACCTCCTGTCCTCTCGACACCTTTGAGCTGTCTTGCCTTCTGCTGTGGCCTCTGTATGTGGTGGATCTTGGGAGTCATTTGGCATAAACATCAAATTTTCATTTGCCTGGAATAGAGAGTTAGGTGACTGTTTCTCAGACCTGAATTCACTTTATGAATTATTGATTGTCTTTAAGAAACTCACTCTTATCGTGGAATTACATTTCAAGGGAGCTTTATACTGATTTGTCTTTTCCTTTTCTAAATTGTTCTTTTCTTTTGGCTCTGCCAGTTTATAGCTAGTTCTGCATTTTGCATTTTGTAAAAATGTGGTATAGCTAAATAACTCTTAGAGATTTTATTGCTTCATTATTGGTTTCACAAGCACCAGTGTAAACTTTAGTTTTTGCTTTACTATTTTGAGTAGAACATTTTGTTATTGGTACCAGACTTAGCAATATAATTGAATAGAGGATGGATTTTTAAGTGTAAAACTGCCTTTCTTTTGATACCATTTACTAAATATGCAAGCATGTATCAGTTAATGTTTTCTGTCCAGTGTTCATTCGTCTCCAGGTGGCCGAGATAGGGCCATCATGGGGATTGGGAATGGTGAATAACTAAGAGCTGAGGTTTCTCCTCCAGAAAAATAACTGTGTTTTCTTCTGAATACTGTCTGCGTGCATATGAACAGTCACTCCTTGGACACACATCTTGAATTACTCTTTCCAGTAAGAGGGTTGTTGAACCTGTTGACAGTCGCTCATCACAGCTCTATGCTCGCCACTTGGGCAGGTGACTGTCAGTTACGAAAATCCGTGTCCAGACCACAGAACAGCAGCTTTCCATCTCCAGTGTCTCTACACACCTGAAGCAAGACAAGCGTCAGGAGGAAAATTTCCACCTTCACCTTCTTTCTGATAACACTAATGATTGCCTTTCAGTAAAAATCTCTTTAGTGTGAGTCAGCATGAGGCAGACATATGATGTTGGTTTGACAAAGAGCATATTTAAATTGGAGCTTTTTGAAACCGAAAAACAGTGAATTAACACATCAGTGGCATCTTTGAGATTAAGAAGGAACTACAATATTATTCACAGGGTTAATATTCTCTTAGGGTTTTATAAGTAAAAAGATAAATTTATAAAAATATTATACTTTTCTGTGGATAAGCTTAAGTTAGATGTTTTGTTTTGCAACGTGGGGTATAGAACCTGTGGAGAAACGAAATGCTCTCATAACCTCCAAGTCAACAACAACAACACTTTTTACTGAAGGCTTATCTGAGAACATTCTCTGGAAGGGTAAGTTTACGTCATAGCAAGCGTACATAGTTTTTATAATCTCTAGTTGAGCAAATGCTTTAAATAGTAATATCTGTTCTGTGAAACCGTAAAAAAGCACCCTCTGTGGTGGTTTAGATCTGTTAACTGCGGAGGTGGGTTGCCTGTGAAAGCAACGGTACGTGAGATAGTTCTCTTTTCAATAAGTTGGTGTTTTAAAATCAGCCTTCTTCAAAAGTTGCTAATGGCAAGAAGTAGAGTTACGTTGCAACAAACCGAGTCTAAATGGAGAGAGATAGGCTTTATGGAATAAAAAAACGTGTTCTCTGCTTGGTCTTGCTTCTGTAGACTGGGGTCTTTTTTCTTGGTCATGAGTACTACACATCTGTGGACTTTTTTGGTATTCCCTGAAATAGTTACAGCTGTCGTTTATACAAAGGCAGTAAGTACTTCAGAATGGGGCAGGGCAGGGTAGTGACGGGGTTGGTGCCTTCCGCGGGGTGGAGGTGACGCACGCCGGAAGTACTTGATTTTCCAGGAGAGGTCAGCGGGTCCTGGCCATGGAGAGCAGGAGCCAGTGAACTGTCTTTCTGGTTTATGGTGGGGTCATTTTTATTAGGAGTAAACATTAGCCACTTTTATCATGGAGGAAGAATCAAAATTCTTACTCAAAGGTTTGTGGTTGTCACCCTGATTTTTTCCCTTCAAGCCTTTACTTGCCACAGAACGTATTCCTCTATAGGAAGAAGTTCTCGTATTCTTATGATGGCGGTGGAAACAATGAGCAAGGGAACTGCAGTGCTTTTCTCTGGCTGGCAGAATTTGGTGGCTGAGCTGGAAAAGTCACCACCCCCTAACCTGGGAGAGGTGGTCCCCTAGAGCAGCCCACTGTCCATGGTGCTCCCAGGCCCTGTCCTCATTCCCATCATTTTCACGAGACCCAGAGTTTCCCCATCTGTCTCTCCAAATCCCTGCCCTCCTTGTTCTTGCTCACATTTTGGTTGGACCCCTTGATTCCACAGAAGATCGGAGGGTCTCAAATGTGGGGGTCCTGAGATATGAGTATCAGGTTTCATCAGGGCTGGCAAAGGTGGAAGTTTATCCCAGCCTGGATCACCCCAGCTCACGCTGCAAACTCCTAAGTTACCAGCTGTGGGAATTGGTGCCCAAAACAGTCACCTGTGTTGCTCTAAGACTCAGGCCTGGTTGTGGCTCATGGCCCCTCCCAAGCATTCTAGAGCTTCCCCCCTTGCTGCAGAGTGACCAGGGCCCTGTCCAGCTTGGCCCTGGGCATCATGGACTGTGGGCTCTGGACAAAGAGGCCCCACTGACCTCCGCCTCTGCCTCGTCTACCGCCCCCAGTGCACGCCTGTCTTTAGTCATTGAATCCACGTGCAGAGTGTTGGATTTTTCCCAGAGCTGATGCTGCTTCTCTCTCCCTTTCAGGTGGACACTCTTTGCCTGGAGGATCTGCATGCTTTTATTGCTCAGGCCTTGTGCCTCCAAGGAAAGTCAACTGTGCAGCTGGTAGACTTACAGGTACTGGCCTGACTGATTGTCACAGTTCTGGAGACCCCCTGCCTGCCCAGCCATTTCTTCTGTTGTTTTTTTTAAGTTTTGGTTGGTGTTTCACAGAAAAGGTAAGAAGGCATCTTTAATCAAGGTGTTTTTATGATGCTGTGGTGTAGCTTCATCTCTCACAGCGGAGCCCAGGGTCCTGCCAGGTTAGTGAAGTTCAAGCAGAGCTATGTACAGATGGCGTCCCGCATTCCGTGGAAGTGGGCCCTCTAGACCTCGGTCTCAGATGGGTCACATGCTCACAAGAGCTGCCTCATTCCAGCGCTGAGAAATGTGTCGTTCTTAATCCTGTCTCAGTATTGTCACATGAGGACAAGAGTTGGTGTGATCCCTTTTAAGCCTTGCTAACTTTAGGAAAACAGGACGCCTTTTTCTGGTGTTCATGATTTTGGCCCATACACATCCTGTCTTGCCTGTTTTGTCCGTGGGCCTGGCCTCCCAGACGTCGGTGACTGCTCTTAGGGGCTGGGCCACATTCCACCCGCCCTGTGTCCTCTCCCAGTGCCTTGCTTGCGGAGTGTTTAGTAAATGGAGATCATGCGCCGTGTTGCTTTTATTCAGATATTGCCACTCACGGGCGTTTTATTCCTTTAATTTCACGAACGAGCCGTTGGCAGCTGAGCCTCGTTCCTCTCCTTTTTGGCCACACCCTGTTGGGTCCCATAGCTGTTTCGTAGAGGAAAACCCAAGGTCAGGTCAGTTGTTGGTGGAAACTGAAGACTTTGCTTTATAAATGCCATTGGATAATGATGAGTTTTATCTGCAGATTCTAGTTAATTGAATTAGTTTTTACTGGTCTTTTTAGTGGAAAAAAAAAAAAAACTAATAAATTTCATTTATGAACAACTTTTAATCTAATCTCAGAACTCTTCTGTACCATGTTTACTCCATGAACTAATTCTCATAGCAGCCCAATTAAATACAGTGCAGGCTGTGTGTGTGTGTGTGTGTGTGTGCAGTTTCATTACATTATAGTCAAGAAAGTTATTTTTAGAGGTGGATTTTTTCCTCCTTTTGGCAAGAAACAATTTTAAAAAGTGATTTTTTGGGTTATTACTAGGTTGATGCTAATTCTTTTTTTATTGAGGTATAATTGACACACATTATATAAGTTTCAGGTGCTCAACATAATGATTCAATATTTGTATATATTGTGAAATGATCACCACAGCAAGTCTATAGTTAGTATCTGTCAGCACCCATAGTTACAGACTTTTTTTTCTTGTGATGAGAACTTTTAAGATTTATGCTCTTAGCAGCTTTCAGGTGTGCAACCCAGTATTATTAACCGTGGTCTCCACGACGTACATCACATCCCGTGGCTTATTAATGTTATCACTGGACGTCTGTACCTTCTGAGTCCTTCACCCATTTTAGTCACCCCTTATCTCCAGTGACCACCAGCCCGTACGGTATTTGTCTTTCTTTCTCTGACTTCTTTCACTTGGCATAATGCCCTCAAGGTCCATCCACGTTACCACAGATGGCAAGATTTCACTTTCTTTTTCTTATGCCTGAATAATACTGCGTTGTGTAGATATGTCACATCTTTTTAATGTATTCCTCAGTTGATGGACTCTTTTGTGAGTAATGCTGCCTCAAACATGGGCTGCACATACCTCACAAGATAGTGATTTAACTTCCTTCAGATATATCCCCAGAAGTTGGATTGCTGGAGTGTAGGGTAGCTCCATTTTTAGTTTTTTGAGGAGCCTCCATACTATTTTCCGGAGTAGTGGCGCCAGCTTGCATTCCTACCAGCAGTGCGAGAGGGTCCCCTTTCTCCGCATCCTGGCCAATACTTATCTTTTGCCTGATGATGGCCCTCCTAAATAAGTGTGGGAAATTAGTTGACCATATATGCATGGGTTTACTTTTGAGCTCTCTTTTCTGTTCCATTGATTTTCGTGTCTTGTGTTTATGCTAATGCTGTACTGTTTTGATTACAGTAGCTTTGTAATATAGTTTGAAATCGGGGAGCTGACGCCTCCAGCTCTGTTCTTTCTCAGGTCTGCTCTGGCTATTCAGAGCCTTTTGTGGTTCCATACACATTTTAGGGTTGTTTGTTCTATTTCTATGAAAAGTGCCATAGGAATTTTTATAGAGATCACATTGAAGCTGTAGATTGCTTTGGATAGTATGGACATTTTAACAATATTTGTTCTTCCAACCCATGAGCATGGAATATCTTTCATTTGTGTTTTGTGTCATCTTCACTTTCTTTCATCAGTGTTTTATAATTTTCAGAGTGCAGGTCTTTCACGTCCCTGGTTAAATTTATTCCTACCTATCTTATTCTTTTTGATGCAATTGTAAATGAGATTGTTGTCTTAATTGCTCAGATAGTTCCTTACTAGTGTACAGAAATGCAACATTGGGACACCTGGGTGGCTCAGTTGGTTAAGCATCTGCCTTCGGCTTGGGTCCTGATCTCAGGGTCCTGGGGTTAAGTCCCACATCAGGGTCCCTGCTCAGCGGGGAGTCTGCTTCTCCCTCTGCTGCCATCCCCTGCTTGTGCTCTGTCTCTCTGACAAATAAAGAAAATTTTTAATAATAATAATAATAATAATAATAAACCTTAAAAAAGAAATGCGACAGATTTTATGTATTGATGTATCCTGCAACTTTATTGAATTCATTTATTAGTTCTCACCATTTTTTGGTAGAGTTTTAAGGGTTTTCTATGTATAGTATCATGTCATTTGAAGATAGTGGCAGTTTTACTTCTTCCTTTCAGTTTGGATGCCTTTTATTTCTTTTCCTTGCCTGATTGCTGTGGCTAGGACTTCCAGTCCTGTGTTGGATAAAAGTGGTGAGAGCAGACATCCTTGTCTTATTCCTGACCTTAGGGAGAAAGCTCTCAGCTTTTCACCATTGGGGATGTTAGCTGATTGCATTGAGTATGAACAACTGAGTATGAACAACACAATTTTTAAAAAGTGAATTTTCAGTTATTAGTAGGTTAATAAAATTCTTACTACTAGATTATAGCCCGAGCTGCATGGCCTCGCCCTCAGCCTGCTGTCATGCTACCATGGGCCCATCTGTCCCTTGACCCTCACCTGCCTTCCTCTTTCCAGTCCTAGTAAAACTAAGCAGACAAACAGAAAGAGAAGGGGACTTAGAGGCCATGCTGTCTCCTGCCTCATTGTACAGTGTGGACAGCAGAGCAAGCTGGAGTTCGGGGCTCTTTAATTTGGTAGCTGCATGACCTTGAAGAAGTTCTTATGAACATACAGCAGAACATAACTTCTCTCTTTCATAAATATGAGGGGACGTCTTACATGCCTATTGCCAGGATGGAGTGTGGCACCATGTGGGATGTTCTCTGTCTTCGTGGAAATCGAGTCCATGATCCCATCCCCACTGTGTCATTGGCAGAGCTAAAGTGGGATCGGCTCTTGACACCCATCCAGTGGTCTTTGCTGTGAGAAAGGCGCTTTTCTGGGAGGAGGGGGCCTGAGGGAAAGCGCGAGGTAAACGCAGACCCCAGCGGGAGCATGCGTTGTTGTGTCCACTCGCTTAGGCCCCATGCTTGCCAGTCTGGCAGACCCCAGCAGACCAGGTACCTTCCCCAGGGCTGGAGCTTCTCCAGCCTGTACCAGCTGTTACTGACATTGGTTCCCTGGAAGGACTGTAACTGGGCAGCTCGTGTTCTCCTCACCAGACCCCTGTGGAGAGAGTCCCAAGGAGGATGGGGGTTTTTACCAGCGGTGGGACTGAAAACAGATGCGATTTCAGAGGCCTCTTGGCTGTCCTGGTTGATGGGGTTGGTTGCAGAGATGCTGTGAGGCAGGGAGGGGAGGGGCAGGGTCCCCCCAGGGTCTCACTCCACTCCCGCTGCTGAGGAGCAGCTCATCTGGGACTTAGCTGTGGCTTTGGTTCCAGACCCTTGTCTTCACCTGGTGTCCCTGCTCACTGGTGCTCGTGGGGAATTTTTAAAATGCCCAGCATTATTTTTCTTGTCCCAACAGCTCCAATACAGCTTTAAAATGGTAAACAGGTTTACATTTTTATTAAAAATCCAGGTGATTGGATTATATATGTAAAGATTATATCCCATATTGTGTATACGCACATATTCATTTACAGACATAGAAGTCTGTTATCTATGGTAAAGAATACAAGAACTCTTAATCTGCAACAGTTCTGTAAGAAAAGAAAAATGAAGGGAAGCAGGATTACTTGTAACTAAGAAAAATACAAAGCTTGCTTTCATCACACACAGAAGGCAGTCACACAGGTAACAGGGGACGCTGGCCGCCTCAGTGCTGGGAACATGTGCGAGGAGCTGAACCGTGCGCAGGGAGTAAGACTGTCTGTCTTCCTGGCTGGAGCCGTGTCCTCTCTGAAAGCTGGTGTGTGTTTGCTCTTTTCCTGTTCGTGTGTGTGACTGTCCGTAAGTGCATGCTAGGGGACCCAGTCTGTTCATGGTGCTTTACGTAGCTCATGGGGTCCTTTGACACTTGGCTTGTGCAGCCCCTGTGAGAACACGCACAGAGAAGGGGATGCACACAGGATGAGGGTGGGAAAGTCAGCTAAGCAGTGCACTGAGTCACACAGCGAACAAGTAACCCGTGAAGCTTGGGTTCTCGCATCTGTGGAATTTAAGAGAAGGTTGCAAGGGTAGAGGGATAGTCGTGTGCCATGAGGTGTCCATGGCGTGTGGCAGGGGGAGCCCTGGGCGCCCGGATCCCCGGTTCCTGACGCGGGCATGCGTGTACTTGTCCAGGCATGTATAGGGTTAGCAGCAGCTTCCTCACTCACCCAGTGGTGTTTTGTCAGGCGCGGGTGCATGTCCAGAGCATTTTGCAAAGTCCTCTAGAAAATAAGAGGTATTGGGGTTGTCACCCTGCTACCACTGAGCCAAATAGGGTGCCCAGCAAGCAGACCGGTGCCTGCTCTCAGAACCTTTGTCTCCCCCTGCCCCACCCCGCCCTGAGCAGGGCAGTTCCTTTACA